ACCGTAGAGAATAATTAGACCCAAATATTATACTCTAGATGTATTTAGTATCAACTTGTTTTCTAAAATCCACTTTTCTATACTCTCCAACTCCTCATTCAAAATAGCTGTCAATTCACCCGCCATTTGTGCTGATGCATAAACTGTTGTATCGTTTGCATACATTACTTTAGCACTTCTTAATACCAGATATAAATCATTTGTGAAAATGGAATACAAAAGTGGTCCTAAACAGCTCCCTTGTGGAACTCCACATTCAATTGCCCTTCTATCTGAGTAACGTCCGTAAAAAAAAAAACTCTCTGTGATCTATTATCCAAATAACTTTCCATCCAAGCAATTACTGATGGTCTAAATCTATAACCTTCTAATTTTTCCAAAAGAAGCTTTTGATCAATAAGGTCAAATGCAGCTGTAAAATCTAATAAGACTGCTCCACATATCCTTTTTTTATCCAACCCTCGATACCAATCATCTGTCATTTGTGATAAAGCTGTACATGTGGAGTGTTCTTTTCTAAAAGCATGCTGATAATTTGATATCAGATTATTCTGAGACACATAATCCTGTATTTAATCAAATACTGCCTTCTCGAGGATCTTACTTAACACTGGTAATACACTCACCTGGCGACTATTAGAGCCACTAAATTGTATTTTTCTATCTTTAGTCAAAGGCATAATTTTAGCTTCCTTCCAGGCCTGTGGAAATATTGATTGCTTAAGACTTATATAAAAATATGACGTATTGGGCCAGACACATAATCTATGGCTAATCGGATCAGATTATCATTTATATTATCTATCCCTGGTTGTTTGTCTTTACAGACAGATTTTATTAGCCTTTTCACAGTTTCTTCTCCCAATTCACTAAACTCAAAATAACAGTTCTTATCTCTCATATATTTCTTAATATTAAGAATTGTAGAGGTATTTTCTGTCACATATATTTCTTTCCTCAAATTCTGTATCTTACTGCTAAAAAAAATCATTCAAATAATTTGCGATTTCTTCAGGTTTTGTCATATAAGTACCTTCACAGTCAATTGAAGCAGGCTGTGGGGACTTCTGTCTTCCCATTATATTATTTAATACCTTCCAAAGCTTCTTCCCATCTTTCTTCTTACTACTTAACTGTAATGTATAATATTGTTTCTTTTTCTTTTTATTAAGACCTGTGACATAATTTCTCAATTTACAATATTTATGTCTATCCGTTACACTGCCTTTTTTTTTTTTTTTTTGCTGTTCTGAACACCTCGTCTCTGAGCCATATAGTCCTTTAATTCGCTATCAATCCAGGATGCTCTAGAATTCTTTATAATTAATTTCTTAACAGGCGCATGATTATCAATAACTGGCTGAAATTTTCTAATAAATAATTCAAGTGCATCATTTGGTTCTTCAACATCATAAATCTCTGACCACTTTATATTACCAATATCACTCAAGAAAGCTTCCTGGGAAAACCTCCTATATGACCTTTTATACACAATTCTTTGCTTAGCTTTGGAAATTTAGTTTTTCCTTGCAATCAACTATATTGTGATCACTACAACCTACTTGAACTAATATCGCTGTCGTATACAGATCTTCATTGCTCAAATAAATATGATCTATACAAGATGATGTGGACTTGCCTTTAATATTTATGCATATTTTCGTTGGTTGTCTAGCCATCTGTTTCAATCCACATGCATCTATTATATTTACCAATTTGTTCTTTAAAAAGCACTCATGTACTAACCAATTAATATTAAGATCACCTTAAAAAAACAGCTTCTATATTCAATTTACATACCTTCATTTACATACATTCAGCATCTCACCCATGTCTTCTAAATATTTATGATTTGAACCTGGTGGCCTATAACAACATCCTACTAAAATTGGCTTGACATGAGGTAAATTAACTTGCAGCCATATAATCTCCACTTCTTTACACATAATATCATCCCTTACTTTTACAGAAATATGATTCTGCACATAAAAGGCAACACCTCCACCGTACTTATTTCTATCCCTTCTATATAAAGTATATCCTCTTATAGACACAGCATTATCATCAAATGTCTCATCCAAATGAGTTTCAGATATAGCAACAATATTGTGTTTGATAGCAACAAATCAGCAACTTCATGAACTTTGTTCCTCAAACTACAAATATTCAAATGAGCAAATTTTACATATTTTTTGGAAATAAACCAGCAATACACATACAATATACAGCACATCACTGCACAACTTGATCCTTGTCGCATCCTCACATGTTCTCCTTTGCTTGCCGTTTACGAACAATTCGTTTATCGTACCTTAAGAAAGCAATGTCCCCTCTTTCTCATGCAGCTTTCATTTTAGGAATCAGTTTCTTTCTCCTCTTTCGAACCGATTCAGAATAGTCTTGGTTCATAAAAATATTCGAACCCTTCAGCTTTCTCACGTTGGCCATCACTCGATCTCTGTCCTTGATTCCTAAAAAACGACACCACTGTTGGGCGAGGCTGACTCCAGATTTCATCCTGTACTTTAAGAACTTTTCCAACTCGTTGAACTTTCTGTATACCGATGTTGAGTGGGTCCAAATCCAATTTATCCTTAAAAAGAGCCAGCACCTTCTCTTCTGAGTCTGACCCCTTTACATTCTCAACTTCAGGAATTCCATCAATAATCACATTCTGATGTCTGGTCTGGGCATCTAGAAAGTCCGTTCACCAACATCGATTCCGCCAGTTTTTGTATGTCGCCTTCATTTGATTTACAATTAGACGACAAACTTACACTTGCCGCTTTTAAATCGTCCACCTCCTTTTGTGTAAATTGGAGGCTAACTTTCAACTCCTGCAGCTCTTTCAAAATGGAGTCCATTCTGACACTCATTGTTTCCATAAAGGTGTACATACAAACTTTAAAGTTGCTTTCTTGTTGTTGCAAACAATTTCTTTATAGAAGGCTTTCTGTTGTTCCATTAATTCACGCACCTGTTCATGTGTGATGTACTGTCCAGAGTAATTGTTTCGGGAGGAGTGAACCTATGTAGTATTTCAAATAACTTTCTGGGCAAGTAAGCAGCTACTCACCTTGCTCTGACATCAGCTGTTTCGGCATCCCTCCAACTCCCTAACAACACAATTTAGACTTCTTGTTACCCACACTCATCTTCCAAGCATTAGTAGTCCCACCAGGGGATATATCTAAGCTTGAATTGAAGCTGCTTCCCCGACCCTCTCCACTGTGGAAAGCAAGCCAAATACATTTAACCTTAATAGCTTAAAGATTATATGGGCAAACAAACTCATGAAAGCTGTTTTGTGAATCAACGATTCATTCAAATGGAACAAACTTTTATTTCACTTTTAAATTATCGAACAGAACAGCAAGGATATTTTTGTGTTCCACAGAAGAAAATAAGTTATACAGGTTTGATAACAGAATGCCTTACTCTTACAGAAATTTGATTCTGCACATAAAAGGCAACACCTCCACCGTACTTATTTCTATCCCTTCTATATAAAGTATATCCTCTTATAGACACAGCATTATCATCAAATGTCTCATCCAAATGAGTTTCAGATATAGCAACAATATTGTGTTTGATAGCAACAAATCAGCAACTTCATGAACTTTGTTCCTCAAACTACAAATATTCAAATGAGCAAATTTTACATATTTTTTGGAAATAAACCAGCAATACACATACAATATACAGCACATCACTGCACAACTTGATCCTTGTCGCATCCTCACATGTTCTCCTTTGCTTGCCGTTTACGAACAATTCGTTTATCGTACCTTAAGAAAGCAATGTCCCCTCTTTCTCATGCAGCTTTCATTTTAGGAATCAGTTTCTTTCTCCTCTTTCGAACCGATTCAGAATAGTCTTGGTTCATAAAAATATTCGAACCCTTCAGCTTTCTCACGTTGGCCATCACTCGATCTCTGTCCTTGATTCCTAAAAAACGACACCACTGTTGGGCGAGGCTGACTCCAGATTTCATCCTGTACTTTAAGAACTTTTCCAACTCGTTGAACTTTCTGTATACCGATGTTGAGTGGGTCCAAATCCAATTTATCCTTAAAAAGAGCCAGCACCTTCTCTTCTGAGTCTGACCCCTTTACATTCTCAACTTCAGGAATTCCATCAATAATCACATTCTGATGTCTGGTCTGGGCATCTAGAAAGTCCGTTCACCAACATCGATTCCGCCAGTTTTTGTATGTCGCCTTCATTTGATTTACAATTAGACGACAAACTTACACTTGCCGCTTTTAAATCGTCCACCTCCTTTTGTGTAAATTGGAGGCTAACTTTCAACTCCTGCAGCTCTTTCAAAATGGAGTCCATTCTGACACTCATTGTTTCCATAAAGGTGTACATACAAACTTTAAAGTTGCTTTCTTGTTGTTGCAAACAATTTCTTTATAGAAGGCTTTCTGTTGTTCCATTAATTCACGCACCTGTTCATGTGTGATGTACTGTCCAGAGTAATTGTTTCGGGAGGAGTGAACCTATGTAGTATTTCAAATAACTTTCTGGGCAAGTAAGCAGCTACTCACCTTGCTCTGACATCAGCTGTTTCGGCATCCCTCCAACTCCCTAACAACACAATTTAGACTTCTTGTTACCCACACTCATCTTCCAAGCATTAGTAGTCCCACCAGGGGATATATCTAAGCTTGAATTGAAGCTGCTTCCCCGACCCTCTCCACTGTGGAAAGCAAGCCAAATACATTTAACCTTAATAGCTTAAAGATTATATGGGCAAACAAACTCATGAAAGCTGTTTTGTGAATCAACGATTCATTCAAATGGAACAAACTTTTATTTCACTTTTAAATTATCGAACAGAACAGCAAGGATATTTTTGTGTTCCACAGAAGAAAATAAGTTATACAGGTTTGATAACAGAATGTTAATTTTTGTATGAACTATCCCTTTAAAGCAGGTTGTTTTATTTGTGAATATGTGAGCTTAATATTTGCTTAATTTTCTCTATTTAACAGCTCAAAACATCAGTCTGGTCAATGGTTTAGATGCCTGCTCTGGAAGAGTTGAGATCTTTTATAATGGCAAGTGGGGGACAGTGTGTGGTGACTCCTGGGACATTGATGATGCTGCTGTGGTGTGCAGACAGTTGGGATGTGGAAGAGCTGTTATTGCAGATGGCCAGTCTCTTTTTGGGGTAAGGGGTAATGTCTGGCTGAGTGAGGTCAACTGTAAGGGAGACGAGTCATCCATCACACAGTGCGCTCATCGAAGCAATGGAAATAATTGTCCTCAGAGTAACGATGCTGGAGTCATATGTTCAGGTATGAGTATTTAGTCTTTCCCTAAATCAAAGTGTTCTTTGCAAGAGTGCTGGTGTAGTTCAACAGCACTGGGTTTGAGACTGACTGTCAGTCTGTGTATTAGTTGTGGGGATTTTTCAGTGATTCTTTTAGCAGGTTACAATATGCCAGTAGGTGACAACAAGTGACTGTCTTTAATAGTGATGTGCAGTCATATTTGTGAAATTTCAATCAGATTTTTCTGGGCAAATCTCCATTGTTCATTGTCAGTAGTGTAGTGATGAATGAAGCACATCTCACACAGAAATCACTTGCAAACCAAGCAGCTTTCTGCTGGTCAAGGTCCCAAATTTGCATGAGCGAAACCTACATGGTAACTATTGCCCTTGTGCAAAAATCCTGGTTGCACAGATTCTGCATAATTTTGCAGAGCAATGATAAATGTGACCACACCTTAATTCATGAGTGAATTGAATATTTAATTTAAACAATTAGCTAAAACAAATATGTGGAATCATTCATCAGAAACATTACAGTAGTAGGCCATTCTGAAGGTAGGGTGTACTCTTTTTAATGTCCTAAAATCTTCCCTCCAGCTTCTTCAGTTATTATCATTGGTGTTGTGGTAACAGCTGTACTGCTCATATTGTCTGCACTGCTAATCATTTTCCTGGTGAGGAGGAGACAAAAACAAAAGAAAATCCAGATATGCTCCTGTTCAAAAGGTGAGAATGATTTCAATAATGTACTTTACATTTAATTTGGGATGCCTGCAAATATCAGTGCTGAAACATCTTACCATCATAGTAAAACAATGTTTTTGTTTCAATGTACTTTGTATCCCATGATGCAGTTAATATGCTAAATGTGCTCCATAATGACCAGAATGAAGAGGCTGCTGAGGATGACTATGAGCTTGTAGATATGGATGATGGTAGTCAAGATGATGTAAACTCTGACTCTGATCAAGATTACCTTCATGTAGATCAAGATAACTCTGAACCAGACTACGTCAATGTGGAAACAGACGATTCAGAACAGGACTATGTCAATGTTAATATTACAGAAAACAGAAGTACACTGGACAATAACTATGAAGATTTATGAAAGCTATTTGATGGAAATTTTTTCACAAAATAAAAGACCCAGTACCTTCTGAATGGATAACAGGACTAAATATCAGACAAGACTCCATTGCTACACAAAAGTGCCACACAAAAATGGAGCCAGAATTGCCAGGCAAGGAACAAGTAAAGTTCACAGTGAATTATTCATTATATCCAATAATCAATGTCCAAGTATAAATTATTCTTTGCATATGAAGAGAACAAAGACTCTTTGAACATTACTTATATTAATTCTCTACAAATCTCTGGAATGTAAGTGTGGATTATCTTTTAGCATCAATTTGTCTATTTGACTGAAAATGGTGGCACTAACAAATTAGCAGTTGTTAACAGAGCATTAGCAAAAAGTATGAAGTTTTTTTTTAAAGTGATAGTGATTTTGACAGCTTCTCAAGATGTGTTCTCTAAACAACCGATAAGGAAGTTGAAAGCAGTAGCTGTATCCGTTCACAGTGTGACACAACTACCCACAACCCCTCTGCTGTGTGTCTTCGTCTCTCAGTTGTTGTTATTGTTAGACACCCGCAAATGAGTTACTGTTACTGTGTGATGTCTGCCTTTTATCATGACTGCCCACTGGATACCTAAATAATTTAATTTAAAATAAAAAATGTTTAAACAAACAGTTTAATATATGTTATAAATAATATATGTTAGTAATATATGGATTCTACACAAGTTGCCGCTGAATAAAGCTGTCATATAAAATTACAACTGCAAATACACTGTAAATCCAGTTTATATTTCTCTGGGCTAAGGAAATGCTGAACATGTTGACACTGTTTCACAATCTCTGCTGTCCAAAAGGGCACTTCCTCAAATCTGCTTTGCAGCTTAATCAGTGTGTTAACGTATTCTGAGAACAGAGCTATTCTCTGAATGTTAAAACATGCATATCTGATGTGGTTTCTTTATTCCCCTTTCTAATTTCTATCACATGTAAACAGTTCGTTTCACTTCTTTGCAGAGATCATTTGACGTTTTACATATGTAGTCATTCATTAAATAAAACATAAATACTAACTTTTATTTGAAGCATCGGCTTATAGCATTTGCTATCAATGAAGAATACCAGCAGGGGCTTAATGTCAATCAGACAATTCCTTACCCCGAGATGAAAACAGTGAGGGTCAGACGCTCTTTTAAAAAGTCACATTTTACTTATATTTAGCACTAAGCAAGTGTCAGTTTTGGACTTTGCTCATATATGTCATAAAAGATGCTTTTTTTCATGCGAGCTGTTTAACTCTCCCCACCATTGACAGAATTTTCCATCATTTATGAGACCGCGCTTCCCCGCCACTGACGGAAATTTCTCAAATGGGATCAAAACACAGCAAAGAAGAAGCAGAAACAAGCGATCGTGAATATGCATATGTAAAAGTGATCATCAAGCATTAAAGCAGCAAATAAATCAAAACTGCCCAATGTTACCAAATAAAAAGACAATCCAGGAAGTGGTGTAGGACCGTGCAAGCTTTGGATATGTTGATGGAAGTGATCTTCTCCATCTATGTTTTGATCATTGTTCTGAATCTGATCAAAAATCTTTTACAAAAACACGATTTTCTCAGCTTTTTGTTTAAAATGTTGCTTTTTTTCATGAAACATACCCACATTCAAGTGTTGATAGAAAAGCTCTGTTCTTTGTTTTGACATATTGCGTGTTCATATATTCATACATATTCTGGGTGCCATTAAACTTTTGTGAAAATGATAAAAAATGCTGGCGGTGGCTGGCACCTTTTTTAAAAACACTGACAGGGAAAGAGTTAATGGGCAAGGGCAGCTTGAATGTTTGTTCACAGTTCAGTAAAATAAGACTAGCTATCAACACAATTGTGCACACAAAAATATTATCAGTTTAAAAAAATCATAACAATAAAACAATTTGTTTTATTCACATATTAAAACAGTAATTTGTGGTGTAAATTACCTTGTATAAGGATACAATCTTAGTTTAATGAAAAATAGATTGAAGGACAGATCTTGACAGAGAGATGGACTGAACTCATAATAACTGTGCAGAGTGAAAGTTTTATTTCTCACAAAAGCACCATCAGATTTTCTTATGAGCCATTAAGTAAATACCTCTAGGAATGTTTTGCTATCCTTGTAATTTTGCTTTTGTGTGCTTTTGTGTTTTAAAATTAGGAATCTAATTAATAGCTTAGCTAATTTATAATCTTATAAGAAATAGTGAGTGATGAGTGAGTTCAAGAAGTCTAGGTAATCTTAAGTAAAAGGACTGGATACTGCTTGAGATTGTCATCTCATTGAGAATGTCTCTTTGGAATGCAATTCAGGCAAAACTGGTGAAAAGACATTTTTGGAAAGAGGCTGGGTAAAAAAGGGATGTTTCATTGTATTGTCTAAATGCATTTTTAAAACAGTTAAAAGGGGAAGTGAATGAGTGTGTTTTGCAGTTTTGGTTTTGTATGTGTTGAAAGGCGCAGATCTAAACATCTTAAGTGCATTTGGAAACAAAGCAAGGATCACAATGCCAAGACTTTCTCTTCTCACTTTGCAGTTCCTATTTTAATTACAGATGCAGTTTAAAGATTATCATTTAATGTTGAAATATTTGTATGTCTACAATAATATTTCATGCTTAAAACTGTATTGTTAATGTTTATGAACTGTGTGGTGGTGGTGCCATATCTTTACTACACTACTGAATAATAGGTTTATTGGTCATCTCTCAGGTTTAGTTTCAGAGCTTTTATCATTTGCTCTTTCCAAAACTGAACTGAAACTAGTGGCTTTTTTGTAATGTTTTATGTTAACTTTAACTTAGACACAGTCTAATTATCCTTCAGGGATATTTGAGCTGCCTTGATATGATTTTCACTGCTCTGAAAATGAAAATGATCTAAATGATGACTAAAATGATTAAATGGGGCTCACATATAATGGAGCTTTTTAAAAAAAATTAGGGATCGTGAAGGGTATGAAGAACTATGTCAAAGAACTAGGCTACATCCGGCCACAGGCCATATAACAGTTCCCTGCAACTGTCATAGTCTGCTACAGTACACAATACATAGTGTCTATCTACATAGACAACATTCTCATAAATTTGTCAGTAGGATAAAATGTTTTGTTGTTGTTGTTTTACTGTCCGTTACTACACAGAAAAATTCCAGAGTGGCATACTGTTGCTATAGTTCCTTTCTTAGGTTTTGGTCAGTCAAGTTGGCAGATTTCACAGAAATTAAGTGTAATGATGGGCACAGACTCCGATTTTTTTTTCTAGTTTATCTATCCAGCTGGAGGACAGATAAGCTAGAAACATGTCTGTTATTTTGAACAAATTTTAGAACAAACATTGGACACATTCACACAGCAGCAGAATATGGTTGTCAGTCCGGTATTTGAGTAATATTATGGTTGCATTCACACACATTTCGGTTATTTATGGGATTGACAAACGCATACTATTTTTGAACTCACACCCCTACATTTTCAGGACTCACAACTGTGGTGTTGTAAAATATATTAAATTAACCATCATAAGTTCTACTTATAATATTAAAAATCAAGGAGAACAACTATTTTAAAATGTACATAGAAATATTACATTATAATATACATAGTAATATACATTACATATATACATAGTAATATGTATATAATATACATAGTACATTTTAATCTAAAAGTATAGCACTTCAATCCACGCATGCGTGTTTGGACAAGACATTCTACTACGGATCCGAGAGGGACGGTGATGCATGGCTGGTGATGCATGGCTGGATTTTCTCGTGTTTAAGGTAAGTTTGTCTTTCTGTTTTCGATTTCTGATTTGTAATACATTGGTCCGTGTGCATATCGATAGTTTTATTCTTGTTTACTTGACACACTATACATTAACCTTCATTTTTTCACATAACCTGGAAGTTAACTTGCGTGCGGTCACAGTGATATTTCAGTGAAAATGTTTTCGATAGTTTAGAGATTCACAAAGCACTGTTTTTCAAGTAAAAACTTGAGCACGATTGGAAATTACTGGATGTTATTCAATGTTATAACTGCTAGCTAGCTAACGTTACTAATATAAAACAATCGCGCAGTATAGCAAAAGGTTAGTTTCTGTTATTTCAAACACTTGAATGACATAATAGCTGACATATTTTACATTTAATCATTTAGCAGACGCTTTTATCCAAAGCGACTTACAAATGAGAAGAGCAAGCAATTCAGACCAATAGGAGGGCAACAGTAACAAGTCTCAGTTAGTCTAGCACAATACACATATCATTTTTTTATAGAGTGAGTTTAGAGCAATAACATTGTATTAATCTCATAAATTGTCGTGCTTTGTCACTATGCTAAGCTAACATACTACCTAACCCTAAAGCACCTGTTGCCAGCGTTATTTTATAGGACTAATTTTGAAAAGTGTGAATAGAAAGTGGTTAGTAAAAGTGTTTTTATGCTTCTTTATGATGGCATTCAACTTAATTGAACATTTAAGTGTAAAGTCTCTCATGCGAGTCCAGTCTTGTCAGTTAAATCTTTTCTTTTGGGGGCAACAGTAACAAGTCTCAGTTAGTCTAGCACAATACACATATCATTTTTTTATAGAGTGAGTTTAGAGCAATAACATTGTATTAATCTCATAAATTGTCGTGCTTTGTCACTATGCTAAGCTAACATACTACCTAACCCTAAAGCACCTGTTGCCAGCGTTATTTTATAGGACTAATTTTGAAAAGTGTGAATAGAAAGTGGTTAGTAAAAGTGTTTTTATGCTTCTTTATGATGGCATTCAACTTAATTGAACATTTAAGTGTAAAGTCTCTCATGCGAGTCCAGTCTTGTCAGTTAAATCTTTTCTTTTGGTCAAACAATCTGTAATTTGTTGGTTAAAAAGCAAAGTCTTATGAACACGTTTCTATCAAAAGGAAGGCTTTGGATTCACTGCAGAATAAGCCAGAGTATAAATTGAGGACCATACAGAAGGAGTGATTGGTCTAGTTCTCATATTCAGGCAAGTATATATCAATGCATAGATTTGCATGATATAACATTATTGTTGTTATTTTTACCTATTCGTCACTGCATAATATAAAATTGTGGTTAAATGTTTTAGATCATTGTTTTAATATCACAAATTGTGTCTGTTCATTTACAGGGTGACATAACTCTTACGACGAGCCAATACAGTGGAAACTTGAGGTGTGGGGAGGAAGATAGACTGATGGTTTTCATGTTAGATGCAGTTTTGGTTATATCAATACTACCTAGCTGTGTCAGGTTAAAACCTCATCTTGTTCTGTTTGTTAAGTCATTTTTTTCTATATTTTATACCTCCTGGAGTTGAAACTGTGTATGGTGCAGCAAATGCAGTTCATGTTGGTAATGGAGATTGAATTGTATTACAGAACAGCAGTCACTTAAAGTAGCATTCAGTCATACTTTATTTTTTATATTTTCAATAGACCAAATATTACCATTCAGTGGAGGTATGCATGTTTTCCGTACTTATTTCTATCCCTTCTATATAAAGTATATCCTCTTATAGACACAGCATTATCATCAAATGTCTCATCCAAATGAGTTTCAGATATAGCAACAATATTGTGTTTGATAGCAACAAATCAGCAACTTCATGAACTTTGTTCCTCAAACTACAAATATTCAAATG